GGGGTGTTTATGGGGTGCAGGTTGGTGCCGGAGCCCCCAGCGCTGGGGGGCTCCCTGGCCCTGGGGAGGATGATGCTGATTCTCCAAACCCCATCCCGGAGCTGTGCTGGGGAGGATGCTTCAACCTGTACTATCTAAAATACCCAATTTTTGTGAAATGAAGACAAAGAGTGTTTTCAATAGGCGTGTGCCAACACTTCTGTCATTTCCCCGAGACAGCCCTGCCCGGGCTGGGGGCTGAGCCCCCCCGGCTGCTCCTGGGGGCTCTGCCAGCGGTTCCCTGCTCCCTCCCTCATGCATATTTAATCCAGGTCTCACGGAACCATGTGCTCCCGGCTCGTCGGGCGTACGGCATGACACACTAATTAATCTAACTGCCTGTTATTAAGGGCCCCACACGCCCCTTTGGCACTGCATAACAAAGATGCTCTGGGATGTTTCTGGACCCGGTGCCGCAGCTTCGCTGGCGGCGGCTGTTCCCCTCGGGGGCTGCGTGTCCCCGGGCTCTCCCACGCAGGGCAGGGATGCGGGAGAGGCCATCTCAGGACATGTTTTCTCTCTGGTTTTCATAGGTGTTTTTGCTATGAAATGCAGCCAATTTATGATTTTTTTGTCTAGCCCATCGCCTCCTCTCACCTCTCTGAAAGCCCTCGGTGGAGCTGACCTGTGGCCCAGGAGTGGGATGAAAAAGATGGGCGATGGGGCGCAAACGGTGGGCATTGAGAGTGGTTTCCCTTCCATGTGAGTTGCTGGCGAGAAGTCGGATCAGGGCTGTAAATCCCAGCTGTATCCTGCCCTTAAGAACTCTCCCTCGCCCCCGTCAATATTTTCTGAGCCATCTCCCGAGGCGTGGGGCCTGTCCTCACGCAGCCCAAGATCTCCATCTGCTCCGCCGCTCTAAAAGCCTCCTGGATTTAGCGCCGGGGTGGGTAACGCTCTCCCTTATCCCCGCGCTTGCAGGGGCCGCTGGGCTGGCTGTCACCAGCGTCACCCAGCCAGAGCTGATGCCACTTAAACAGCTTTTAGCCCGAAGCAGCAGTTTCTGGCTGCGGGGTGAGGTGTCAGGATTGGTGCCTCTTATTGATGGGCCGGTGCTGCTCGTCTCCTCTGCCTGGATCCTCCCTCTCTCCCTGCCTTTCCCCGGAGCTGGAATTGCTGCAGCAGCACTGGGACACACAGGTCCCACACCTGGTGCTGAGCTGCCCCGGTGGGGACGGGCAGGGACAACCCTGGGGCTCCCCTGCCCCTCTCCTCACTGCCCAAAATGTCCCTACGCAGGAGGGCAGGCATGGCAAGGGGGTCCACGTGGGGCTGAGAGGCAGGTTGAGGGTCCCCTGGCAGCTTTGGGGAGCCCGGGAGGGGATGAGACAGGGAGGTTGTTGCCCTTCTCTTGGTGCAGAACCTCGGCTCCTCCAGCTCCAGCCCCCTCAACCATCATCCTCAGCCTCCCACCCTCTCTGCCCCCACCATCCCGCTGCCGTGGGGAGCGAGACAGCCCTGCTCTAATCACTGCCATGTTTGCCAGCTACCAGCAGAAAAAACAACAACAACAACAGAAAAAACCCAAAAAAAAGCCTGTTAGTGTAATTTATTTTTTTTTTTTAATCGCAGTTTAAATTGTAGTGCAGCACAAGCCTCCGGCTGAGGGTACCACTTCCCTCTCCTGTGATGATGGGTGGGCTCTGCAGCTTTATCCCAGCACCTGGGGTGGCTGAGATGACAGTTGTCCCCACGGGCTGGGAGCTGGGGCAGGGCTGGGTGGGCTGGCGGTGGCTGAGAACAATCCACCCGTTCCCTGGGTAAAAATAGCCTTCCCCTTGCGAAGATGTAGGCTGTTCCCAGTGACACGAAGCCGAGCAGCCTGTCCTTGGAGCAGCTGGTTTTCAGGAGCGGGGAGGAGGGGGGGGGAAGAAGGGGATGGTGTCTGCGTTGCCGGAGAGGGCTGAGCTCTGCGCGGGGCTGAGGAGGGGAGCTGCCTGGGGAAGGGATTTCTGGCTGGAGCTCCGGGATGTGGATGCCTTCCTAAGGCTGGCGAGATGCTGGGCTAAAGCAGTTTTACTCTGAGGGGGGGGTGTCTGGGGAATCAGGGAGGGGGAAACTCCTGGTTGGACCCGTTCGCTTCAACACCCCTTCTGTGTCCTCTGGCATCGCCCCCCTGCTTTGATTCCTGTGCTTCCCCCCCATCCTGCCCACCTCAGCAGCCCGTCTGTGCCTCCTCTCTAATCACCTGCAGGAGTGACTGAGGAGGGGGGTGTTACACTCAGCCTGTCCCCCGTGGGGCTTCAGAAATTGCCCTTAAACAGTTTTGATCAATGGTTTTACCTCCTGCCCCGGTGAGGATTCCTGATGCTGACCATCCCCTGCCACGGGTACCTGGCGCTTGTAATTCTGCATCAGCTTCTGCCTGTGGCCCCAAAACACGCAGTTTGGCTCAGAGCACCCTCCCCCGGTATGCTGCCGGCTGTATGACGATGGTCATGACTCAAAACACCCCACAAAAGGTCCTGGAGTAGTCACAGGAGCAAACCCTCATGAGGAAAAGAGGCTTTTTTAGGGTGGTTGGCACTGGGTGAAGGTGAGGGACCCCGGGGTGGCTGTTCCCTGGGAGATGGAGGTGTGTGGGGGGGTAGGACCGGTCGGGGATGCCATCAGCAGAGGCTGTAGATGATGCTCAGGAAGATGCAGCACAAGCGGCCACAGGAGCCTCCCCCCAGCCCTCACCACCGGGCACAAGCTCTGTGGAGTGACACCAGCTGTGTCCCTCCGGGCTGTGTCACCGTCTCCATGCTCTTAGGAAGGAAGGGGAGTGCCCGTGTCCCCAAGGGCTGCGCGGTGCCCGAGGCGGCAGCACTGAACTGGACCCTTCCCAGCTGCAGTGGGATGGGGGGAGTTACAGGTGTGGGGCACCGTTTCTGGCTGGTTTTAAGGAGTAACTCATGTTTTTCCTGCTTGCATCTGATGCTAAAAGCAACGCATCTGCCAAGGCTGTTCTGCGGCAGATGCCAACAAGTGGGAATTTGTAGCAATTACTAAGGAACAGCACACGTCCCTGTGCCCGTGACACACGGGTGGCCTCCAGCCATGCCACCCCCCCCACCAGCCATGTGCCCTGGTGTCACCCCCGAGCTCGGATGTGGCATCTGGAGTGACACCTTCCAGGAACGGCATCCTGGCTGGGCTCCCAAGGGATGAGCCCAATGCGGGAACCGCAGGGCTCTGCCCGCGCCGGGAACGTTGGCCACGGGGAGCCCACGGGCACCGGGGGGGTGTCACTGTCCCCCACCAGTGCCAGCCTGGCAGAGGTGGCTGGGGGGAGCTGAGCTGCCAGCCTGTGTCCTGGGGGGAGGAAAAAAAAAAGAGCATCATCAATTTGGATAATGGGGTTGCATAAAGCAGGGAATGATGCAGTCTAATGCCAGAGAAGGGGAAGGGGAGAAGGGGAAAAGGGGAAGGGGAGAAGGGGAAGGCTGAGCGAGATCCGAAGGGAACCAGGCAGGAATTCTGGCTTTAGGCAGGTAAAAGCCTCCCGTGCAGAGAGATGGGCTCCCGAGCGCCGGCGGCTCAGGGCACCAACACACTGAAGAGACCCCGGTGTCTTTTCTTCGCTCTTTATTGTGTAAAAATAAAGTCAACAATTCATGTCATCTCGGCAATAAAATGGAAAAAAGCATGAGTATCAGTAGAAACAGTGCGTTTTCAGAACTGCTGCTGCGACCGGCTGCGGGGCACATCGGAACCCATTCCAAACCCAAAAGGAGACAGAGAGCAAGTCATAGGAAAAATGTACAGCTTTGGTTAGCAAAATAATGACAAATTAAGAGACATTTATTCTCTCCCCTACTATACACTATATACATTGCGTTGACATCACACCCTCTTTTTTTTGTTGTTGTTATTGGTTTGTTTTTTTCCTTTTTTTTGGCAAATCCGACGCACCTGGGACTGTAGGTTGAACCTTTTCCGTGGTCTTGTTCTTCTCAGCAGGTTGTGCTTCTCGCTGTGCTGATGGGAACAGGTTCTGAGGAGGAACTGAAATTTTAACTCGCCATCTCTTTTTTCTTCTTCTTCTTTTTTTTTTTTTGCTTTTTTTTTGTTGTTTTTTTCTAAAAAGAGCACGGTTTAAAATCTGCTGCCCTGAGCCGCAGTTCGTAGGAAGGTCTCTCGATCTGGGCAGGTGGAGAGGGGGGGGGTGAATGTCACTGCTCGTGCTGCTCTTCGGCCGGGCGCTGGTCCCCCCCCCGGGGTGATGGTGCCAGCTCTGTGCTGCTGGCCACGGGCACCCCCGGCCGTGCCCGGCTCCCTACGGGCCCCTCGGCTCTGCGCGTCTCTTTGCCACATCTTTGGAGTTGGTCGGGGAGGCTCTGGAGCCCTGTGTGAATTCTCTGCCTCATCCTCCACCGCCACCCAGGGTGGTCCCGGGGGGGTCGGTGGGAAGGGCCTGGGGGGGTGATTTCGGCAATCTGTAGTACAAACCAGGAGTTTAGAAAAGGAAACCATACAAAATGCATCTATTATTTCAAAATACACTTCTTTATCTCTTTTTTTTTTTTTCCTGCAGAATCTCAAAGTACTTTTTTCTTTTTTTTCCTCAGGGAGCACTGCTTAGTTCTATATTATTTTTTTTTTATCTTCATAAAAATACCCTTTTTTTTTTATTTATTGGTAATAAACTTCCCTTTTACAGTAAGAGAAACAACATAGTGTATTATCAAAAGCAGAAAGGCTTCAGAATTTCAGTGGTAGCTAAATTCCGGGGGACGGTAAAGGCTATTTTTCACCAGCTACGGCGCGGAGGAGGCCTCG